CACACGCACACACACACACACACGCACACACACACACACACACACACACACACACACCTAGATAGAGAGAGTTATGTATTTACTTTGCAGCAGCAAATTTCTCTAACTGGAGATCAATAAAATGTTACCTTAACATCAATAGAATTACCGAGAAAAATCTCTTTTAAGCTACAAGTTGTGTACTTTCCAGGCATATGGGTTTTACAGCTGGTGTTCATTATCATTGCCTGTGTTTGTGCCTGTGTATGTTTCAGTGTGTGTGTGTATGTGTTTCCATACTTATACTTTGTGTCTCAGTGATTTGTGAAAGCTCATATTAGATAGATTAGTACAAGTGGAGGATCAATAAGGCGTACAGTAGTACATGTTTTATCATCTTATTTTTCTCTTTATCATTTCAGACTTGGCATTGGCAAAATTCACAAAGAGAGAAGGAAGGTAAACCTAACATTTCTTTTGTCTGGATCTTCTAATTGGTACAATTCTGTGGCTTATGACAATAATAGAATACTGTTTTTACTGTGTATGAACCTGATAGTGGAAGAAGACTTTGTGCTGTTGAGGCTAGAGAGGTGAGCAGAGTAAGCCAGATTCCCTGTTTGGACTTCTCTGTTGACATCCACCCCTTGGCGCTCATAACATGACCTTATGCAGTAGTTGTGAGCACCGAAAAACCGTACTAAAACTAAACAAAACATTCGTCTGTGGGAAACAATTGCAAGAGTATTGAGCAGATTAGCCCATATTGGGATATCAAGCTCTATTGTGGTCTTGTTTATGTTGTGCTGCGATAATATGCTGTGTGTGTGGCTTATTGGGCGGTGCAAGCCAGAAAATGCTGATTGCAGCGAGTTCAAAACAGAAAGATCATCTGTACTCTGCTGTGTCATCTTGTGTCTCATACGCATACAGTGGAACTCGGATTCAACGAGGTCGCCGGGCCTGACCTAAAATCTCGTTGAATCCGAGTGTTCGTTATAGCAAACATGAGGTTTTGTGTAGATAATTCCAGGCACTGAGCAAGTAATATATAAAGAGAAGTCACAAATAGTGCCAAAAATGCCTGCATATTATGAGCTGTGTAAAAGAAAAAGACCGATTCGTTCAAATGCATTCCTATGTCATCTCGATTGTTTACCACAAAGTTGTGTTATTGTGTAGATCCTAACATAACGGCAACTTTTGATTTCATAGACAAGCGCACAATTCATTACGAAGATCTATGTCAAGACTAGTTTATCATTGTAATAATGATCAGTTGCAGTGGGGAAAAAAAGACTGATGCTTTTGTATCTGCGACATTCAACGCCCGAATCGCTAGTGCGCCCCCCTACCTCCTCGACACACATACAGTCACATGTGTGCTGGCCGTCCATCCGACTCTGACACACGCCGGAGTAGACACATGCGCGAGCCAACAACGCATGTGTTGGTATGAAAAAAAGGCCCCTGATTGGTCGCATGCAATCGGCTAAGTGAATAATGGTTCACGATGCAGTTGCAATGGATAGTTTCCGGGAATAGATAAAGTTCGTTCTGGGAGAAAAATGAGCGAAGCCACCTCTGCGGGGGCAGTTCACCCTGGAAGCGACCTCGTTGAATCCGAGCTCGCTGATTTAAGTGCTCGCTTAATCCGGGTTATTTTTATTGATTTGAAAGAAGAAAAAAAACGGGGAATCTATCTTATCTCGTTGAATCCGAGCTCGTTAAATCCGAGTTCCACTGTATCACGCCCTTAGAATGGCAGGGTTTGTGAGTTGTTAACTATCTTAAAGTATTGTCTGTTGTCTGTTTGGGTTCTTTGTTTTATTTATCTATTTATTTAGATCATTTAGGAGACAGGTTTCCAACCCTCTCTGTCAGGACGAACCTTCCTAGGATGAGAAGGATACAGTGTCTTTGAAGAAAAACTGAGATATTCAATTCAATTTTTTTTTTTATCATCTCCATGGGGAAATCAAAGTCGGGTCTGTTACAGTCTGTAGCATGCAACAGCGAACTAAATAATGTAACTTCTGAATTATTTTATGCTTATATATACATATAGTCATGTGACATTAGACTTTTTCACATTCAAGAAGCAATTTGCAGGGATGCTGAGAGTCGTGTGTGAATAAAAAGCTTTTTTTTTCTCTCTGACTTGTTTCAGTGGGACGAAGAATTGGCAGCTCAGGGAAAGCTACAGACGGTGGATGGAGGAGGTACGGACAGTGGGAATGTGCAAGTTGCTGATGGAGAGACAGAAAGTAGCGCTGGGAACGAACAAAGGACATGTTCAGGTGTCTGCTCAGGAGTGTGCTAGTGGAAAGACTGTCGGAATTTTGTGATGAACTAAAGAAGAAATATTAGATGTATGAGTAATGGGTGAGAATGAGACATTAACCCTATCGTACGTCGTGTTTTACGATCGTATCAATACGACGTGGGGAACTCTGTGCCACCACTTTCCAGAGGGGAAATTTACTCGTTAATCCGATCCATAAGCTTTGCACAGCAGTCTGTCAAAATTATTTTTTGAGAAATACGGAAAGTTTCAAAGAGATTTTTGTACTATAAGTATTCTAAAATGTGAAGAATACAACCCATGGGGTACAAAATGACCCCAGAGCGTACGGATAGGGTTAAAATGCTACTCTTGAATGAAACAACGGGCCTACTGAGGCTCAGACTCAGAGCGGAAGATGTGGTTAGGGATTCTCGAGCTGCCTTGAGGCACTCCATGGATGATAATGCTTGTTGAAAATGTGATATTATGGACATTTTTTTTTGGGGGGGGGGTTTGGTGTTTTGGTTAGTGTTTTACGCACTCCCAACTTCATAACATCGTATCGGGACACATTAAACGTTTTCAGTTTGGTAGGAATTTTGAATTTTACATGGGTGGCGGCCGAAGCCCACTCTTAGTAAGAAGTTAAGACAAACCACACAAAATGCAGGAAAATACTTGAGCGTTTTATTGTAAAAGATAATAATGTCATTGTGGACAACAGGAATGTGAGAGTGTTCAGATCAGAATGGACTTTACGTCACAATCATAACACAATCACCCGAGTCATTTTTGTTTTGTTTTGCTGAAAAACAAAACTTTAAGATTAAGAAACCAGCAGATACCTAAGTCAGCCTTGTGAATTGAGTAAAAAGGAAAATGTCTCGATAATTGGATGTTTAGTACACAGAGCAACACCCAGCTATATCAAGCATATTATTGTGAAGCAAGTAGCAGGTATTTTTACATTACTAATGACCTGGGGGGGAAAAAACGCCTTGGATCATTGCATTATGGCTGTGATGATAGTCCATTCGTCTGAGGGAAACAATAGCAAGAGTATTGAGTAGATCAGAATGGGATATCATTGCATGTTACATGTTATAATTTGGTGAGATTTTTTTGGTTGTCAGTAAAACGGGTTTTTTTTGTCAGTCGTCAACTTAAAGAAAGCTCATATTTTTTAAGATAAGAAAAAAAAAGCCCAGTTTTGTCTCTTTACTCTTTACGTCATGTTATTGTTTGAACAGTTTGTTATGGGAGTTGGATCAAAACCGACATGACATGATACATGAAGGAGCCAATGGAAAAACAGATGTTATCACAGTCTGGAAATTGTGATGGTATCAATTTTAAAAGCTTGTTGTAGACTCACTATTTCATTTCTGTTTGACTGTTAATTTTTTTGTTATTGTTACTTAAATGAGACGTCAGTCTAACAATAATAATTCAACAGACGAACACAAATGCTGTGATTTGTTTTCAGTACAGGCTCTTAAAATTGATACCCTCACAATTACCAGTTTATGAAAAACAACACCCAATTTTACGTCACACTCACACCCTTCACATTCGTCTGAGGGAAAGAGTTGTGAGAGTATTGAGTACAGTAGCTTGGAAATCATTACAAGCTGTTTGGTGTGATGTGTTTGTTGTAAATATAAGAAGGTTTGGGGTGAGCAATGACTTGTTGGTGCTACTGTCAGTCACAGACATGAATAAAGCTCATTTTACAAGGGGAAAAGTCAGATTTTCGTCTCTTTATTTAATTTTTAAAAATTTAATTCATTTTCCTTTTTTTTAAATAGTTCACTTCTCGGTTCGTTTATTTTGCATGGTTAATTAATTTTTTTTTTAACACACCAGCACAATGTAGAAATCTTTTCTGAACTTTTTTTTAGTGTTGTGAGGAGTAAAATCTACTAGATATCTATCCACTCCTCAGAAATTGGAAGCATAATTTTTCGGGTACCATAGTGATAGGCTGCTGTCATTGTCATGAATTAGGTATGATCATCCTTCTTCTTAACCCTGCGGGGTTTTTTTGAGAGGCATTAGGCATGTTTAGGATTTTACAAATTTAGCAATATTTGAACATTTTGGACTTCCAAGAATGTAAGCATTAATAATCGAGCAGAGCAAATGGAATGTCTAAAGCTGTTGGAAAAGTGTATCGGGCACAGGCTAACATAAACCAGATTTTTTTTTTTTTTGGCTAATCATAAAGAAAGACCCAGTAACTTACAAATTTTTGGTTAAAAAATTTTTTGAATAATGCAATAAATTTGGGTGATAATTTCCCATTGAATCTACAGTTGCTACTTCTTTCCCATCCCTCTACTAATTCTTTCTACCTGTCATCCTGTCCTCAGCACAAAATGAATGATCTTTTTACTGATATGCTTTTCATTTGCCACTTAGACAGAAAGAATCTGGATCGCTAACAGACAGAAAGAATAATTTCCTTCGTCTCACAATTACTGGAACGGGCCTGTGCTAAATTGAGATTATTTTTCATTATATATATATACAGTGGAGTACACTTAAAACCGAAGTCTGTGGGACTTTCGAGTTACCTTCAGTTTAGCCGTATTTTAAGTTTAGCTCAAATAAAAGGAGTAAAAAAATTGGGGATTTTATTTGCTTTAGATATATATCGCACCGATATTTTTGGATTAACAGTCTTCAATTTAATTTTAGTGGACTCCACTGTACAAGAATAAATTTATGAAAAAATGTCTCCTGGTATTCTTATAATAATCAACTCTAACTAATAAGCGTTTCACAGCATTAATAAACTACCTTTAACACACCTCTAGTACATAGCATCATCACTAGACCTATCTCTAGCTAGACCTATAGACTGGTACATAGCATCACTAAACCTATCTCTGGTACATAGCATCACTAAACCTATCTCGCTCAGGTCTCAGACCTCTGGGCAGTGATGGTCGTGGAGAAAAGTCTCTATTCGGGGGAAAAAATAAGTAAGAATTACAAAAAAGAAAGCAGAATCAATTCGATGTACATGATGTAAAATGTTGGAGATCATTTTTTCATAGAATAGAATGTCTATTTACACAAAAAAAGTAGGCCTATATACAGTAAGGCATGGATAATTCAAACACATAGGGGAGTGACAAATGTGTTTAACACACATCCATAATCCGGGTAAACCGTACAGCGAAAAATGAAAGAGATATCATTATCAGTCAAGGAATGGCAAATTGTATGAGCTATCCATGATTTCTAGTTATCCGTATATTCGGGTTATCTGTGCACGACAATGCAATATGCACATAGCGGACAGATTTTCAGGTCCCGAAATTTTCCTTACATGTAGATGATTACATTATATATATTCATGTCTAATTATATTTTCTTTGTATGGTTCATTAAAACGTGTATAAACGTGTAGGATACTTAGCGAAATTCATAACATATAGCATCCCGCTGATTTCGCTAGTTGTGTGCAAGACTAAAAAACATATTTTATCATTATATTATAAGCCTATTATGTAGATCTATAGGTTTTCTATCCCTCTAAATGGAGAAAGCATTGCATAAGTGCACACCACACTTTAATATCATCACTGACCAATTTCTATTTCGTGACATATAATCTCAGTGCCAACCCACAAAATGGCCGAAACCTGGCCCTTTGTCAAGCTGATTGGCCACATACATAGCCGACTCTGCAACAATACGAGCAACAACAGCCAAGTGGGTATAAGTAACCATTCTTCTAATATTCTAAAACAATCGGCTGACAGGGGAAAAATACCTTGCACAGCATTTGGCATTGTGACCAGCACAAAGAGAGAGGGGTTAAGTTTTCTTAGAAAAAACTTTTACACTTTACACCTCAACCAACACAATTCAGATAAATTAAACTTTTAGAAGCACCTGACTTCCACCCTGCTTATTATCAGGGCCAGCCTAGGAACCCATGAGAAAGACAGAGATAGGTGGTCAAATACTTGTAATATCTTCCCAATGTGGGAATTAAACTGTCTTCCTTCGTGTGCAAGGCGAAGTAACTGTTACACCACAGACAATTACAGATTTTTCAACTTGGGTTTTGAAAGTGTTGAAAAAAATGTAACGGTACCGTAGTGTTAGCACTGGTAAAAACGGGCTTCTTATACAGCGGAACGTGGATTCAACGAAATCGAAGGTCAGGCCCGACGACTTCGTTATTTCCGAGGTTCACTGAACAAGTGCTGCGGTTTTGAATTGTGATCATAGAGCAAAATATAGCAAAACTGATAATGACACAACATGTGATTCTGAAAATACAAGAACATCACCCAAACATCATCATCGTATTACATACAGCATGAGGGCTTACTACATGAAGTTAAAAGAACATGGATTAAAACAGCATTTTGAGGTGGGGTGGGGGGAATCAACCTTTCAGTTGAAAGCTGTTGTCTCCACTCTGTCTCAGTACGATGGAGATTCCATGAAATTAAAAATTCGTATTCTTTCCTTCAGAGAAAGGGATAAAAAAAAGATAATATTTATAAATTTATTATGTTTGCTCTCCTGCTAAAAAACATCAGCAACCTGTAAAGCTAGGCTTACAATACTCACATCATGTTACTGAACATGAGCCATGGAATAGAGTCTATGATGCCAAGCATAATAATAACAACAGTGAGCTGTCCCCGCGGTTTTATGCACAAAAAAATACAGAAATTAAGCAAACTGAGCCCAAAAAAGTGAAGTGATGCGTTTCTGTTAATTTTAACAAAGAATAATAAAGGAAAATAATCAGAAATCATGCAAAAATGATCAAATTTTGCTAAATTATGCGGGGTGCTTAAAAGTCTGGGGACAGTCACAGTGAGAACAACTACCTTTATAATTTATAAACAAATCCGATAGAGGATGATAAAAGTTTCAGGTCTGTGTGCCGGGAGGCTTTCATGTAATCCTAAATATAAACATACTCGTATGTGTTGCAGCGTTATGGAATCCGGAGCTCATCAACTTTTGAGTGCATATTATGGAGTTATTGGTAGCAAATTAAAGCTTGTTTATTTCTATTGAACATGGTGAAATTAC